AACAGATTGCGCTGAAGTGGGTTTCACACTGAATTGACATCGTAGCAGTCGTGAAAACAGATGGAAATTCGGCCCTCAAGAGGGGTGAAAATTTAAATAAAAGTTGAATTTTAAGGTTGAACCGGAACGTAATTGGTTGTAGGCACAATTACCCTATGTTTACATTAGAATGAAATTCTGTGAACAAACGGGCTGAAGTTATTTCTAGACGAAATGACTAATGATTGGCCTATGCGATTTGTGAATCATGCATAAACAATCATTTTAATGCCTTGACTGATTGAATTTTAACTAATTCCCAGGTTTTTAGATTCGCATAGTGTGCAAAAGACCGAATATTTATTCCAAAAAAAACTTTTAGAGGATGGTTTAGCGCCTTTGGAGCTTTGAACTCGATCTAAGTTGACAGAGGCAGTCTTGCAACAGATCATCAACAAGGCACAAAAGCGTAACAATGTCTTTGGCAGTAAGAAATTGCTCTTCTCCCGATCACCTATGTAACTTAGATCCGCCAGTTTTCCGACCACGTCAAGGGTGTGGAAATATTGTTTCTAGCGTATTCTTTCATGTCATTTCGATTCCGTGAAAGTGGTATCTGGAATGTGGTAATTGCTACAAAATCCGACCCATTACCGCGAATTTTCAAAAAGCAGGAGATACTATGTGCTTTTTACATCTGCTGGTAGTACAGTCTCCACAGATTTAACCCGTGTGAACTCATTTAACCTCCTGCACCGATTCAAATCTCATTAGGGCCTCAGCCTCCTGAACGCATATGACGGTTAGACATGACGTAACCAGTCATCTGCTTAAAGTCAAATATAATTGTATTTTCAGAGTATTCCAACGTGAAGAAATTATCCTCATCCGTCGATCGCCTAAACCTCACTAAAACATTCTCAATCAACAGGTTCCATTCAAAACCAGCTTTGAATTCAAGGTGTAAACTGCAGCGTTCTCTAGCAGACACAGGTTTTATCCCAATTGTTTACGCGCACGACTAGAACGATCAGCTTGTTGAAGATACTGCAGGGATGTCCCACCCAGTTGGGCTTTCCTGGCCTCCTACTTGGCCCAAATATCCAGCTAACGACTATATTGCAAGACTTTCAGTTGTCATGTTGAAAAAATATTATATGCTTTTAAAAATGCCCATCGCTTCCACAAATGCCCGTCTAATCCCTACATCAGAAACTTCATATTGTGTGTCACAAAGTCCGAGCAAACTTGTGTGCTAACCAAGCACTTTGGTTTCCACAGAGAGAGTGAACACTGCACTAAATTTGCTTAATTAATCTGAGACTAGAGTGATGAATTGGCATCAGCTTGAAGGGCTCAGACTGTGGTTTTTATAGGAAAATGGGTAAGTAATGTTGGGATGGGAATTGCGGACGAAAATGTGTTGTAAGCTTGTATCAACCTTGTTTATTAATTTACATGCCGGCTAATATGAAATTTTTTAACCCTGGACATCGAGTGAGCATCGAACAATCACTCGTGGCAACCACGCGATCAAGCTCTCTCTGTAGTAGCTTTGTTCAGCAAAAGTAATGACTTTTGTGAAAATCCAGACGTGGCGCCAAGTTTGTTTTGCTTCGAAGCGGGATAATTTTAAGCTGAAATTATACGAAATAGACATTTTTTCAGCCCAACTCATTAGATGCTTTCTTTTGTCTGGTGCTTGGTCGCCTTCAACGGGAGTCAAGATGCGTACGAACTTGAGGCACAATCGAGGAAGTTGGTGTCAGGATATCCCTGCCTGCCTGCCAATAGCGCCAAACATGAAAGGATGTGCAGATAAACACATCCGTAGGTTCGCATTTCCAGCTGTTTGATGACAGTTTGCATCACCTCATGACATTTAAGGGTTGATTCTCGGGACACGTATAGTGAAAAATGGAAATTTTTAATTCAAAAAACGAGAAAAACAGGTCAAAAATGTTTAAACTTTGAAAATAGCAATCAACAAGCCAGAGTCCTCTACCTGAATTTTGAAATTTTATTGCCAAACGCATCACCTATACCTCAAATCGATTGCCTTCGATGGACCAATATTTTTGCCGTGCTAGGTGTGTTCATTAAGGGAGAATCCAAAAGCATTTAGCGATTCCATCAA